GAGAAATAAAATGTTATTTTCTGACATAAAGTGTATGTAGGCTAGGCAAGGGTTTTCTACGCAGACGTTACTGTAAACAAACATTGTGATGTGTTGTATTGGCTGGCCGCAGTGACAGTGACTGTCATGGTTGCCAGGCGACCACACAGTGACAACAAGACTCCAACTGCTGGCTCCAACTACATATTGAATGTACAGCTATGACAGTGGCAACATTCTTCTTATCTAACTCTTAGCAAGAAAGTGAATAAATGGAACTACTCCTTTAACAATTTGTAAGCTGTATTCAAGAGCAGAATTAGTTAGAGAAAGTTGCCAAATGAATGTCACACTCATTAAGGACCACCGTTTTTTGACTGAGCAATGCAGATGCTCGAGCCCTTTTGCACGATGCCGACTAAATTGGAAAACTCAATATTAAAAGTGTGTTTTCAAAAAGTTAATAAAAATTCCCAAACACTTAAACGTCCTTCTACTAGTCATGCACACAGAACACTTGAATAAGCCAGCTAAATAAAAGTCAGTATGGTTCAGCTTGAGAATCTCTGAATTATGTGGCTATGGTAATGCTAATATTGTATGCCTTGCAGAGTGAGAGAGACAAGGAAATACACAATGTTGATATTTTAGATATTTGTTTAAGCTATGATATTTGTCCTGTGGTGTTATAATACCACACAATGCTTTGTGTTTGACTATTTTGATCCTGGTGACATTTTTAGAGTATGTGTTTTCATATTGGGATATGATTCCCAGACTTGTTGTTCAACTGTAAATGCTAAATGTTTCAGAGGAACATTGGTAGAGTGATACTCCGCCCTTCCCAGAGCCTTTACTTTCATGGGGAACTGTGGTCCCGTCCTCCCATTCCCCTTCTCTATCTCACTTACAGTAACCACAGCAGGATGAGATTACACCATGAGCTGGCAGCATCCCCTCTCACCCCACCCAGCTCTCACTCTCTCCCTCTTGGCCAGATTGGTACCATGAGCTCAAGGCCCAGCTGGCTCTGGCAGGCAGTAGAGATAGATACCAACGATACGAAAGATAGGGATAGAACGATACGATACGACTAATAATAGATAGATGGATGGATGGCTGGTGTCGGGTGTCTCTAATCTAAGTATGTGTCACTCACTGGAGAAATGAGCTGCACCCTAGCTGCTTCTGCTCCTGCTGTTGCTCATCTTACAGTGAGTCAGTGTGGTGAGCTAGCACAATATACACCTTTTAGAAGTTCTTAGATTCACAGTGCAGGGACTTTCTTGTCACTGCGGTGGCCAAGGTGATTCCAGTACAACATACACACTGAAGCTGCTGTTTGTGAGAAGTCATTCTGGCAGTACGACCTAACACAGGTGGTTTTTGAGCTCTGTGGTTGCGGTTAGGGCTGAGGTAGCAGTAAATGCTTCAGCAGTAGAATACTGCTACCTGTACATGCACACACATACACACACACACCTGGACAGCTGGGATGACCGCATCAAACTGAGAGGGGATGAGATCACATGATGCAAACCTCTCAGTTCAGAAGTAATGATCGCGGTTGTCTTTCTACGTAGCCTATAATCAGAGTGAGTAAAACAGCTGTGTGTGAGCCAAGGGGAGGGTGGCCAGGTTACAAACACACTCGCACACACAAACACCTGACCTACACTTAGAGATCCACCGTGTCCCCTTGGGAGGGATAGAGTGACACACACACAGCAGGTCACTGCAGATGAGGTCATGACACACACTTAACTGCTGTTAATGTGAAACATTACTCTTGATTCTTTGGTAAAAAAAAAAACAATGACACAATTGTCTTAAATATGATGATGATAACAGCTGAGCAGAGAGAACAGTTTTAAATTGGGAAAATATTCCCTCCACTATTTGTGCAGGATATAATCATTTGAATGTTTGTTTTCAAAGTAGTATGTCTGCAAAAATTGCCATGGGATTGCATCAGGGTGTTTGTTCAGAAGCAACTGAATGAATTGACTGGATGAAATGTGTGATTTCTGAGTGCAATATTTATATTATATGCACAAACAAGATTATGTGTGTCTGGTCACTGGGGATTTATAAAAAAATATTACAGTGCCCTTACATAAACCTCAACAGCTAAACTTAGATCACAGCGTCCAAGTGCCAGATTTCTAATTTGATCCCCCCTCATGGTATGTCACACAAAGTGAACACCATCACAACAAACGTAAAATACTTAAAACCACTCTAAGACAAGTAAACAAGTAAGCTTGTGAACAAATCAAGAATGTGACCCAATCAAGAAGTCCACAAGGAGTAAAATGATACCAGATGCATTGTCAGATGAGACTGGTTCTGTGAGCTTGCTTCTTTACTTAAGCTGCAATGAGATAACTGTAAAAGGCAAAGGCTATTTCAGGACTGAAACGACGGCTCAAAGAGTATCAGAGTCTTCTAGTCTCACTTGGTTTGTTCTTGCAC